GGCTGTTAGTTCTCCACACTCCATTCTTTCCAGGATCTCGTTCTTCATTCTACCCAAGCCACTCACTGCAGGGTAGCATGCTGCAACTCACCATTACCAACAGCTCTATGCCCTTGGATGCTGTCATCTCACTCTAACAACTGCCTCCCTGGCTGATAGCTCACTAATTCTGGTACTGAATCTGAAACATTCCTTAACTCTCCAATGCACTCATCCTGTCCCTGTCCTTATTTGGTCAATCTTTTGACATCCTCTCTCCTTTCCATGCAGCCTGTAACTAACACCATAATCAACACCCACTTGTGTAACTCCCTTTTCTTTCTTTTAATAGTTCCTTGCTAAATAGACTTTCTTTTAAAAACACCCCTCATTCTATTCCTTATTTACTACCAACTTCCATAATAATATAAAGCCTCCTCTTGTGTTACTATGTGTCGTCCATCCTCACTGTTTTTATGACATTCCTTCCATTTGGACGCAAACTCAAAACTGTCACTCTAGAAATTCTCTCCTGTCTCTTACAGTAGTTTCCCCACTGTTAAAAGTTCATCACCTTCACACACACACACACACACACACACCCCTACCTATTTTCTGTGACTCCACATCCAACAGGCTACCACTCCTTTTCTGTTGTTTTACTCAACTCTCCAACAAAATTTCCTCGAAAGAATAGTTTTACTTGCTATCATTACACCCCTGTGGCCCCGTTCTATTTTCTCTGATATCTACGACAAACAATCCCTGTCTCCCCCACCAAATCACTCTTCCCCCAAACACCTCTAAGTCAGAAGCAATTCCATGTTATTCAAATCAGTAGCCTGGGCCTGGTGCAATGGCTCAATGACTAAATCTCACCTTGAACACACACGAAGCCTATATTGGTACTGACTGATCCATTTTCCTTCCAACTCTCCTGGAAAAAGCAATGGTGGATGGCCCAAAGCCCTGGGACCCTACCCCTGCATGGAAAACCTGGAAGAAGCTCCTGGCCCTTGGTTACAGAATGGCTCAGCTCCAGCCACTGTGGCCACTTGGGGAGTGAGTCCGTAGATGGAAAGATCTTTCTCTCTGGCTCTCCTTCTCTCCATAAGTTTACATTTCCAATAAAAAAAAAAACTTTTAAAAAGGAAATAAATCTTTCAAAAAGATCAGTAGCCAACCTGCAGCAATTTATCTTACTATCTTAATGAACTTGTCTAGTCACAAGGCATCAAATATCTGTATGTTAACACCCCCACAAAAAAACAGCACTAATCAACTATTAACATATCTACTTGGGTCTCACCTAGAGAGCTGAAAATCAATCACTTCTAAAATGCCTGTGATCTCCTCTAATAACAGTCTTTTCCATCATTTTTGATTGAAACACGATCCTTTCAGTTACACGGACAAAATAAGACTGATATTTGAATCCTACCCATCTCTCTCATCTTATCTGAGATGAGATTATTATCAAAATAATTCATAAATGTCTTACCTCCTCCATATCAGTCCAAGTCAGCAGTGTGCTTAACTAGGATTATGACAATGGCACCCAAAATGATCCCTTTGCGTCCATACTTAAGCACCCATATGAAGTAGTTTGTGAAATTTTGAATTTTCTACAACTGTCCACTCTCATCACTTGATCCCTACTTTCCTGGCCTCATTCCTCCACTATAGCTGGGAAGTGTTCACCTTTACAATGGCTGTTCTCCAGGACTGGAAACACTTTTTCCTACATGTCCCCATGTTTGCTTCAAGGGCTTGCCCAAATGCCATCTGCTCAAGCAGCTCTACATCTGACCCCTGTAAACTGTAAACTGCCAATCCTTTATCCTGCCTTTTAAAGCATTTTCACCACCCTCAGCCTGCCTTCACATCTTCTTTTAGCATACTATTTACCACTATTCACAAACTAAATAGTCCACCTCTTACTATTATTTGTATGTTTGAATGTTAAGATTGCTACACTCTTGGCAACAACAATAAAAAATTCTCTACACAAGTATTTGACACAATAGTTACACTGCTGTTTGGTATACCCCCATTACAATGCATGATTCCCGACCCAATTCCTAAATTTCCAATTCAGCTTATTATCACACTGTGAGGGAGCAGATGATAGCTCAATTGTTAGCTCCCTGACACTTACATAAGTAGTCAGTTTGTGGCCTGGCGCCATGGCCTAGTGGCTAAAGTACTCACCTTGAAAGCGTTGGGATCCCATATGGGTGCCAGTTCTAATCCTGACAGCACCACTTCCAATCCAGCTCCCTGCCTGTGGCCTGGGAAAACAGTCAAGGATGGCCCATGGCCTTGGGACCCTGCACCAGCGTGAAAGACCCAGAAAAGAATCTGGGATCCTGGCTTTGGATTGATGCAGCACTGACCATGGCGGTCACTTGGGGAGTCAATCATTGAACGGAAGATCGTTCTCTTTGTCTCTCCTCCTCTCTGACTTTTATATCTGACTTTCCAATAAAAATAAATAAATCTTTTAAAAAAAAGAGAGAGAGAGAGAGAAGAGTGGGTTTGAGCACTGGACTCCTGGTTTTGGCCTAGATCTGTCCTCTGAAATAGAGGCTTTTGGAAAGTAAACCAGCAGGTAAGAGAGTTCTCTGCGTTGGGTCCAGGACAATAGCTAAGTGGCTAAATCCTCACCTTGTAACCACTGGGATCCCATGTGGGTGTCAGTTCATCTCCTGGCTGCCCCACCTCTTATCCAACTCCCCACTGAGGCCTGGGAAAGCAGTAGAGAACAGTCCAAAGCCTTGGGACCCTGCACCCTTGACACAAGAGACCTGGAAGAAGTTCCTGGCTCCTGGCTTTGGATCAGCTCAGCTCTGGCAGCTGTGGTCACATTGAGGAATGAATCAGCAGATGGAAGATATTTCTCTCTGAATCTCCTTCTCACTTTGGGGGGTGGGGATATCTTCCTCTGTGTATCTCCCTCTCTGTGTAAATCTGCCTTTCCAATATAAATAAATAAATCTTTTAGAAAAATAGATTTCTTTGTCTTTCAAACAAAGTGAAAATAAATAACCTTTAAAAGAATAATTTCTGGTACGTAGCATGAATTAAACATTAACTGAATAAATCAGTGAGGAAACTGAGATTCAGTGAAGTAAAAATGCTTGCCAAACATTAGGGGTGAAACAAAATCAACCAGGACTCCCTTGAAAGCTAACATTCTTCATCCGAAAGCCATGCTTCCTGATCTCTTAACGCGCATAACTAAAGGTATTGACAATTAGTGAACCCTAATAACCATTAAGATTGTCTTCCACAAAAATTTTTCTTAAAAACATGAATCAAGAATTTTGGCTACACAGTGTCATAAATTACAGAAAATCTGCCAGTGCTCTGCATTCAGTAAAATAAATACATATTCAATCAATAGCGCCTGTCACCTACTTTTTCTAAACACTTTATTAGGCATCCAATCCCTCAGTACTGAAATTCTGCCAACGAGCTATTTCTTTTGATGAATAAGCATTTTGAAACTTTTGCTAGAAGACTAAAGTGAAAGACATTCATTCACTGAAAAATATTTATTGAGCACCTACTCCTTCCCAGATGCCAGACCACGATTCAGATCAATGTTCTACTTGACTTCCACCAGCTTTCTTCTCCCTCAACTCATTCTAAACATTTCTACCAGTTATCAGATGGTATCATAAGGAAGTGACCTTGCTTAACATCTTCCAACAGCCCTGTTTTTAGACAAAAATATAAATATGGCTTACAATAGCCTTACTACAACACACACATACACACTTGAATATGTTCTATTCTAATTCACATCACAATGTCTTCAGAGATTCCGTTCCCTCTCTTTAGAATGATTCTTAAACACTCTCCAAATTAGCCATGATTATCACTTTCTGATGATCACAAAACTAACCCTCCACATCTCCAGAGGAAGCACATCTCCAGAATCCTATTCTCCAGTTACGTTTTTCCTGATTCATCCATACTAAATTAAGGAGACTTGTTTTTCCTTTTCTGTCTTCTTAGGATTCTGTACTTCCAGATCTCCATTACAGAATTTCGCATAAGCTTTTATAATTATCTGCTTGTTTTCAGAACCAATTCATGAGCAACTACAATCACTTCTGAGCGAAACAATCTTAGCAGCACTTAAAATCAAATAGCTATCAGTATCCATTTTTCTCATCTTCTGGAATATTAACCACGAGAAAGAACCTGCGTTCCTAGTTAGTTTTGCAAATAATTACTAGAATGATACATCAACTCCTCAACAACACAAGCCAAAACTACTAGGAATGCCTGTGCGAGCACCTTTGGACAGAATAGTACTTGGAAGAGCGGACCAATCTTCAAACCTACACTCGGGATCACCCATTCCAACCACACAGAGCCAGCTACCACATGACTAGCACAAGGCAGTCAACTCTTGTTCTAAACCTTATTTTAACCTTTCCATTCTTTCAACGTTTTGTACGTATTTTCCCCTTTCATTTCTCATATCTGTGCTTTCCCAACTCGTCCCCCTCCTACCAGATAATTCTTGAATTGTTTTCCAAGTAAGAACAAAAGAAATCTACTCATTTCTCTCTCCTCGCTTCTGACTGCATCACAAGCAGAAATGTGTCCTCCTCCCTGACATGCCAGTATATAAAAGAGATAATGCAGACATACAACTCTGTGAGGTCAAGTACGATTTTTCATTGTATCTATGAATAGATCCATCGGTTTGTGTTTGACAAAATCAGTAACATGTACTAAAATATAGATAAGAATCTTATCAATAAGCATGAAATCATGAAGAAAACTGCAAACTGGCTAGTACTGACATATTTTAAATAACCAATATTTATTAGAGCTCTACCACATGCTTGAGTGCAAAACAAGTACATACTTTTGATAATCAGTACCTTAAGAACCTTACTATGCCATCAACTAAAAAAAAACCCAGAACCTCAATGTCAGTTTCTATGAAAACACATCTATCATATTTTAAAGTGAAACTTAAATCAATAAAAAGAGATTACCTTCCTTCATTGACAAGTTCAATAAACGCAAGGCCTGCATTCTTCTGAATAGAATTCTGCCACTCCTAAAAATCAATGGCAAAAAGGAGCTTTAGAAATTTTAGTTGTTTCCATTAAAATAATAATAAAACTTCACAAATATACATTCCGTACCTAAGTTCATAAAGGAAAAGTTCTGTTAAACATGTTGTTACCCAAAGAAGTCCTGTGATCACACGATGACTAACAGTGAAAATACATTAATTAATTAATAACTTACATCAGCAAAAACTAAATAAGTCTATTTGAGTTTATCTTACCTTTTTCTTCTATATTATTACATGCTGGTTTAACTAAAATAATTCAGAGATTAGTAGGAAGGTAGCAAAAGTATCCGAAGAACAAATAGATTTGTTTTGTTGTGATAACAAGATGTATCACAGGAGCAAGCATTGTGGCACAACATGTTAAGCTGCCAGAAACAACCCTAGCATCCCGTAACGCAGAGCTTCTTGTCATTGCAGCTGCTCTACTTCTGAACCTCCTCCTGGCTAAATGTGCCTGTGAAGACAGCAGACAGCAGCCTAGGTACTAGGCCCTGAGAGCCACAAGAGAGACCAGGATAGACTCAGAGGCTCCTGGCGTGACTGCGATGTGGAGAGTGAACCAAAAAACAAAAAAAAAGGAAGATCTCTTCCTCTATTTCTCCTTCTGTCACCCTGCCTTTCAGATAAGTAAATCTTCTTTTAAAAGTATCATTCAAATTGAAGATAAATTTACATAGCTCAATAACTTGAACAAGTAGAACATGTTTAACCACAAAAATTGGTGACAACTGAGAAAGCAATTAAAAAAAAAAAAGACCTGATCAGTGAATTGGGCTAGACCAATTGTAAAAGTGCAATAGAAAAGTACAAATACTTTAAACATGTTGTTGATCTGTTAAAAACCTGTCACCAAGGCCTGGCGCAGTGGCCTAGTGGCTAAAGTCCTCACCTTGAACGCGCCAGAATACCATATGGGAGCCAGTTCTAATCCTGGCCACTCCACTTCCCATCTGGCTCCCTGCTTGTAGCCTGGGAAAGCAGTCGAGGACGGCCCAAATTTTGGGACCCTGCACCCTCTCTGTATATCTGACTTTGTAATAAAAATAAATATATCTCTAAAAAAAAAAATACCTGTCTCTAGGGAATTTATTCACTGCAAAGAAATCCTTCAAAAGGTCTAGAAAGAAAACTGACCAGCGGAATACGTTCAAATGAATTTTATACCTTATATCTCAAAACATGCATAAAATAAGCATTAATAAAATAAAGGACTGCAGAAATTGCAATAAGCCTAGATTTGAGAAATGCCAGTGAATACATTTTGTATGGGTGTATGTCTGCATAAGCGTACACACTCAAGTACTTTTTTTAAAAGATTTACTTATTTTTATTGGAAAGGTGGATATACAGAGAGGAGGAGAGAGAAAGATCTTCCATCCAATGATTCACTCCCCAAGCGGCTGCAACGGCCGGTGCTGCACCGATCCGAAGCCAGGAGTCAGGAACTTCCTCCAGGTCTCCCACATGAGTGTAGGGTCCCAAGGCTTTGGGCCGTCCTCGACTGCTTTCCCAGGCCACAGACAGGGAGCTGCATGGGAAGTGGAGCTGCCGGGATTAGAATCAGCGCCCACATAAGATACTGGCACATGCAAGGTGAGTACTTTAACCACTACACCATCACACCAGGTCCAGGTACTTTTTAAAAACTGCAAATATGTATATAGTTTTTCTGAATAATTTGGAGGCATTTATATCCTAACTACAAGAGTACACCTAAAGTGGTGGAAAATCAAATTAAACAATAATCTTACTTTACAGCAAACAACTTTGAAGTCCCATAGTTGTTCTTTTTTTTTAAAGTAAACACCACCATGAACCTTTTTTCTTTTGTTGAACTTTTTAAATATCGTTCATATATATGAATTTAAAACTTTTTGGACCAAAAATAAACCCAGCTTTTTATTTTGTTTTCTAGACACTTAAAAGCACTATCTTTATATATATATATATTTTTTTTTATTTTGAATTTTGAATTACGTGGTACATTTTTGTATGGGCTGAGATTTCCCACCAAACTCCCACCCTGTCAGATTTTTCCCATTTTGTTACAATAGTGTAGTTCTTCATAAGGAACCTTAATTCTATCAATCTCTTATTTACGTGTACCTGACATTGCTGGTACAGACAATGTCAGACAGTCCAGCATCCTATTGTCTACACATGTCCAACAGTTTCGGTGGGAATCCATCTTTCATGTGGATGCAGGGATGCATGTTACATTGTACCCCCATGTCTGTTTATGATAGACCCCAGTACTCCATAACTATACATTACCCTAAGTAAAAAGCCATGAAACAAGATCAACAACCGGTATGACTTAAACAGCCACATCAACAACAACATCAACAATAATACACCACTGAGTAACCAACACGTGAGTGGCAAAAAGGAAGCACAGAAGTCTCTTGGGAAAAATGATGCCATCATATAATTCATAAACATGTGATGAATGCGACTAGAGAAAAGAGATTATTTGGAGGAAACAAAACTGAAATGCTGTTTTTTGATTGTTTGCTTTTTTGGCAGTATGCCATGTGTTTTGATGTTTTTATTTCAGTTTGGTTCCTTTAAAAGCACTATCTTAATATAAAATCTCTTTACTGATATATTTTTCTTTTCTCATAAAACTTAAACACCATGTTAACTACTTGCCATTGCTTACTTTAAACCATTTTCCTAAGCAAATATTTTTTTAGAATGACCTGAAATTTAGACAAAAAGATGAAATAGTAATGCCTAACTTGCCCTATCATTAACATTTCATGTTAGTGTTTCTGTCACAATGAATCAACCACTAACAGCTTCCCACAACCGCTTCATCTCCAAACTCCTTCTGTGTGACCGTGGTCTCCCCCATCAGCCAAGGAGAATCCAAAGTCCTTCTATCCCTCCTACCTTCTAATCAACATTATGTGTTCAGACTGAAGTTCTCTGAAACTTTTGTTTGTGGTTGGTTAGTTTTAGGATTTGGGGGGGCGGGGCAGGGGAGGGAGTTGGTTTCTTTTAATTTCTTTTATGGAGAAAATGTAGAATTTGGCTTTCTATAGCTAGTTTGTTTCGGTCACACCGAAGTCCTAAAATTTCACTTCCTTTGCTACAAAGGAGGGGATTTCATTTTTTTTTCTCTGTTTAGAGAGGATCTCCTTGGGTACCTACACCTCAGTCCCTTATCCATTCATCTGATAAGGGGCAGATTGGCTGATTCTACACCTTGGCTATTGCGACCCATGCTACAATAAACGCAGTGGAGCAGGTACCTTTGTGAAGCAGTGATGTCAGGACTTTGGGGTACACAGACCAGGCTGCAGGGATGACATGGTACTCTTAGGGTTTCAAGAAGCTGCCAAGCTGTTTTCCACACTGGCTGTGGCCACTGCATTTCCACCCACAGCATATGGAGACCCCTTGGTCTTCACATCCTTGCATTTCTACTTCCTGTCTTTTCAGCAACAGCATTAGATGGGGGGGGGGGGTAAGGTAATATCACATTGTGCTTTCAATATCATTTATTTTTTCATATGCTTTTTTGGCCATTTCCATTTCTCCTTTTAGAAACTACCTGTTCAGCTTCTTTGCCCATTTGACTAGACCAGTTGTTTCTCTAGCTGAGTATTTTGAGTTCCTAATATATTCTCCATGTCGTGACTTTAAGAATTTTAAATTCCATGTACATTTACCCTAATGAGATTTACAGCTGATCTCAACTTCTTAGTTCTTTCATTCTATTCTACTTCCTCTATTTGATTCCCTATTTTCATGCTTTAATAACCCCACAGTGGCTCTCAGCTAAAGTGAATGCATGCGGTGATTTTGCTGATGAAAATGACTCTATGAGTAATAGCAGTAGAAGCTAAAAGAACATATACAGTACAATGAAAATACAACGATCATCATATATGGGAGTGCAGTAACTGATAAGATATGCCACAGAATGAAGAGCAATTGGTTGTTCGGTAAACAGGAAGAAACAAAGCATAAAACCCATGTTGTCACTCCATTCCGGGCATTAACAGGGCATAATCTGAGACTGTAGAAAACCCCTTCCAGGAATGTCTGAAACATATTAACATTAAGGGGGCAAGGCACAATAGCCTAGTGGCTAAAGTCCTCACCTTGAATGCACCAGAATCTCATTTGGGTGTCGATTCTTATCCTGCTGCGCCACTTCCCCCCAGGTCCTTGCTTGAGGCCTGGGAAAGCAGTCAAGGATGGCCCTAAGCCTTGGGATCCCGTGCACGCATGGGACAACTGGCAGAAGCTCCTTGCTCCTGGCTTCAGATCAGTTCAGCTACAGCCAGTGCAGCTAACTGGGGGAGTGAACCAGTGAATGGAAGATCTTTCTCTCTGTTTCTCCTTCTGTCTGTAAATCTCACTTTCCAATAAAAATAAATCTTAAAGAGAAAACAAGGAATATGAAAAACTAAAAAAAAAAAAAAAACTAACCATATAAAGTCCAAGTGTCAGTCACCAAGATAAGCAAAATCAAATATAAAATAGAAATTTCACGCAATGTAAAACACTTTTATTTTCTTCAAAATTAAATGAATGAACAGGTAGTGAAAACACAATACTCCAAATTATAAGAAAATATATCCCTGATGCTAGGACATGTGCCACACTCTCCCATTCTTTAAAAGGTAGGATGAGGGGGACCGCAAAAGCTGAAAAAACAGATCATATTTCTGATCATAGCACAGAGGTGTGGCACTGCCAAGCTCAGGACAAGGGAATTCCAAGCCTCGAAGAGCTCCTCTCTGTCAGAGAATGCGCAGGAAGGCTGGAACAGAGGTACAACTTACAACAGCTGGAAGTGATCTGAGTGCAAGGGCATAAGGAAGCGTAACTGTGACTGTTGTGGATTGTGGGTGTCACAGTGCAAGAACTTCATTGCACAGCTCTTACACTCTACACAACGAAGTTACAGGGAAATTGAAAAAGGCTCCAGAGAACAGGAAGTTAAGACCTTAAATGGACTGAGT